CCAGAGAACACCCAGGTTCCCTGTGGCTTACATCACCACCATGAGTTGCCCAGGATACGCTTGGCTTAGGCAGGATCTTGACCATGAAGTCTCGGTCGGGAGCTCTCTTCTCCATGGACATAGCACCTGCGGAAATAGAACAATTGCGTCAAGATACCATAGGGAGTTTTGATGGAACAAGGGGGTCTTTGAGATATGATAGTACGCCTACATGGCGGATTTGAAAGTCAGCTGCATGGTCGAGGTGTCGGATACCAGATTCTGACTGTACCGTTATGAATGCTGCCAAAGGCAATGAGCGCAAAGCCCCAGGCACGCCGAAAACCGATTTGACCTGCGATATGTAAAGGTTGCAAAGCACATAACGCATGTTGTATAAATCATGGACAGTTCGTCAACGAGCTGCATAGGATCTGCACAAGGTCAGAACGAATCGCCGCAGTTCAGGATATCTGCGGCTTTCAACCGCGTTCAAGCTTACATTTCAGGGTGGAATGGAAAGCTGTTGAGCCTGCGCCGATAATGATGTATCCTATAAAAGATATCACAAAGATGCGGTCGTGTTTGTGCTTCAGACAATTCTGAATGCCTCGGGCCCCTAGCCACAGGAACAGCAAATTGGTCAATGTCTGTTTGTCGCCAAGAAGGCGGCATTAGACATAGTACAACAAGGGGTTCAGTGAAACCAACATTGCAAATTTCTGCGCAGTAGTACGAGACAACGTAATCCTTCAGGTCCATATCAGCACGGCGGTCTTCTGTTGCTGCATGTTTGAATTTGAACTCAGGGAGACGCTACCTCTTCACAAAAATTCAGGGTCACAGTTTTCGGACCCCAGAAACCTTCGTGGCCGTTGCTGTCATCGTAGGGAAAACCAAATGATGGGCCCCTAGACGGAGTCGTTGAGCTCATCTTGTCGAGCGCGTCTCGTGACAAGCAATCGCAGGTTGGACTTGACGTGAGTAATGCGGCGTGCTCAGTGGTTGAACCAACGACACCTCACTGTAGGCACAGATTACAGACTGGTGATTTAGTTGGGCAACAGCGGTATCAGACAATTGATGGAGAAAATTGGGGTGGTTGTGACAAAACGGTTTGAGCTTGTCGCTGTGGTGGGGGGGGCCAATGGTTCAGTGCTCGGAATGGCCACCAGAGAATCCGAAGCAGTAGGCCGAGGCTGCCGAAGCGCGTGGAGTACGCGTCCTCTCCATGACTGGCATGCTCTGGGAAGGCCATGTGTCCATTCCCCCTTACATATCAACTCGAAGCAACTCATACCAAGAGAAGAGCTACGTACGTGTACCAACTATTCAAACAAGCTTTTCCTTCAAGCAGCAGCATGACTGGCAAGCTAATAAAAAAAAAACGAAGAAGAAAAAAATTGCCTGAAGTGTCAAGCGCAAAAACTTGACATAGCTCGCCTGTCCCCTCCAAGGTTGGGCTGATAAGGTGAGAGGCTTGCGGGTCGGATACCAAGATGAGCCGATAGGAGGACAAGTATACATGGTAGATAGACATTTGGGGGGGATTGGTAGAGGGAGCTCGCCATGGTTCCTGTCGAGAATGACGTAAATATGTCTTAAACACCACGGCCCATCTACCTACCACCTAGTCTAATGGACTTGGGAAGGAGGAGTGTGCTTAGTCATCGCCAATAATCTACCTGTTAGATGGAGCCAAGCGGTAAGGTGGTCTATTTTTACCATTCCGTCTTCTACCACGTACTCCTTGAGCTTCGTCGTGTACCTACCTACCGCACTTCAAGTAGGAAGGTGTCACGCCAGAATAGCGAAGGCTACCCGTGACCTTGTGGCATTTCTTATGAAGGTTGGTACATAGACACGTCCATTGATTTTGTCAGCAACGCTTCCTGGGCCGCCATAATTGATCGAGTTTACGGATCAGCGAAACGACTGCGAGCGACCCTAAGCCTCGAAGCCCGAGCTGCCCGTCTGCGTGTTCACGCCTATTCACTCAATGCTCTAGATTCGATCACCGACACCGCTCCCAGCCTGGTCACGACCATCTTGGCACGAGATGAACGCATTGCACAGATTCCTACGTTCATCGCTATCCTCATAGGAGCTCTGAGATATGGCGAATCAGGGGAAAGGCTCGAGATGGGGCTCGTTGTTGTCACAAGCTGTGGCGGGCATGGAGGCGCATCTTGACAATATGCTCGCTGAAGGTGAAGGTGGACCGAATGCCACGAAACAAGCACAGAGCACGAGCGGCAACCCTCAGCGTCAATCTGCAACTGTCCAGGCCAAAAATGTGCCGGGTAAGTCAAATTGCTGTCACGACGGTCTGTATTAGGCCATAGGCTTACTAGTCAATAGCGTCGCCTCGAACGTCCTCCAGCAGTAACCGAGTGAACGATCGCTTGCAAGAGCGCTTAGCTAAAGCTATCGCAACCAAAGGCGGCAGCAACGCAACCGAGATCTCTAGTATTACAATCAACTCCAATGATTTTCAGAACAACAAAGCTTCCACCACATCGGAAAATAGCGCTGAGAATCAGGTCCAACAACTGCGTGGTCCAGAAAGCCCGCAGACGGCTGCGGTCGGGGCAGCTGTCATTGAACCTCTGTCCACGAACGAAACACACGGCACTGGGTTAGATGACGTGCGAGAAGATGCGAAGCGCGATGGCGCTGAGCCTATCGAGCTCGAGGAGGAACACCTCGCAATCAAGTTGCCTCCATCTTCTGAAGTGACGACAACACCTTCCGATTCACTCTGTAGTCGCTGTCAATCCTTGGACGTCAAGATTTCGACCTTGGAGGCTGAGCATCGTGGTGAGGTTCATCGATATATCGAGCAGGTTGACGCCTTGCAGGCCAAATTGCAGTATTTGTCCCGTGAAGCCAGTCAAGTTGCGAGGAATGCTATTAACGATACTCAATCGGGCACCCCGGAGCGAAAATTGGCTGAAAAAGATGAAAGGATCGCAGTGCTCATGGACGAAGGGAGAGGCATGGCTGCTACTGAACAGAAGCACCGAAATGCGATAAAGAAGCTCAGGATTCAGGTGGCCGATAATGAGAAGGCCAACGCCGAGCTGAAAGCCGCGCTTCAGCAGGCGCGGGCGGGTCTAGCTGACTTTCGTGCGAGCGAAACAAAGCTCGAACAGCTTGAGAGAGCTAGATTCGAGTGGCAAGTTGGGTCGGCAAAGATGCGTGAGGAGCTGAGCATGCTGCGATCAGACCTCAGCGCAAAGCAGATCACTATTGAGTCTCTTCGACAAGATCTACAAAAAGCAATAGACGAAGCGAATACATCCGCGTCGCGGTCTCTCGCTGAAGCTTTAGAAGCTGAAAAACGACGAGCCAGGGAGTTCGAGGACAACATCGCGTCACTGCAGGTCGAGAAGAATCTGGTCGCCGAACGAGCCAAGAAGAGGGAAGCGGAGCTCAGAGAAAAAGCCGATGAGGCTGCGGAGCGCTCCCGTATTGCTCAATTGGAGCTGCAAGGTGAAATGCAGGCAATCGAGGGCAGACTCGAAGCCATGCGGGCTTCTAGCAGAAGAGGCTCATCAGGGGCTGTCGGCGACTCCTCAGCAACTTTGCGACAAATGTAAACACTCCAGACTCAGCACGCTATGCTAGCGAAAACTGGCAGGGGATAGAAGCTAGTCTCGGCCACACGCCTAAGCATCTGGAGAGGAGAGAAACGATGCATTGCGGAGAGAGTCAGATATGAGAAAGAGGCTAGGAACGGTCAGTCAAAGGCTGTGTCAACAGCCCCTCCAAGCATATTTAATTTGGGCTGACAAGAGTTCAGACACTTCGCTGCAAACGACAAGAAGAAGAAATCCACGATCTGAGCAACAGAATCTCGAATAGTCAGCCTGAATCTGACCAATTCAAGGACCAGCTCGTCACACTCCAGAAGCGTGCAGAGGCAGCGGATGCTGCGCTTGCACAAGCCAAGGCAGATTTCGAAAAACAACAAGCCACCTGGAAGGCGGAACGCTGGGATAATCCTGACCGACGCCTTTGGCTGGAGGACGTCCCAGTCGCATCGCCAAGGATACAGAGTCGGCCAGATTCACCTTTACTGTCTGTGCCCGTAAGGACTTTCAGCTCAGACCTCCTCGTTTCACAGGGGCCATCCAGCAAGGGTCGCAAAATCTCAACTCCTGGCAGCGTCGCTGACGGCTTTCACGAATCATATTCGCCGGGTAGGCGATTGTCAAGCCAGTCCCCTTTGAGGCCTTTCGTCCTCCCGAACAGCGCCGGCCTTTCGTCTTCAGTGTCCATGGCCTCGTTCGATCCACCTCGGGAAGGCGTGCATACGGCAACGTCACATCTGGGTGAACGAGATGACATATCAGACGTGTTAGATACGTCTTCTTCTCCACGCCAAATGATGCAAGACATGGTATCAGTATCAACTGTTGGAGCGGGACCATCAGTCCAGCTTGTTGAGCGCATGAGTGCGGCGATTCGGCGACTTGAGGGAGAGAAGATGGCATCAAGAGAGGAGCTGTCTAGAATATCAGGTCAAAGAGATGAGGCCCGGGCGGAGTTGGTTGCTCTCATGAAGGAAACGCAATCTGCAGAAGCGACATCCAGGAAGGTGTCGGACTTGATGGACGAGGTGGCGAATATCAACGAGAGATACCAGACCACGCTTGAATTGCTTGGCGAGAAGAGCGAACTTGTGGAAGAGCTGCGAGCTGATGTGGAGGATGTTAAGGCCATGTACCGAGACCTGGTAGAACGAACAGTAAAAGGGTGATGGTTCTTCGGGAAATCATTGTAGGCCTAGCCATTGCTGTGGAATTTTACTACGCAGTTGAGTTGATCATGGCAGTCACCTCCGTCTTCCTTCTCTGCACTCATGACGTGTTTACTTCAGAAGGTCGATCCCTTCAGCTTCAGCAAAACGCTCAATGTAGTAACGAACCTGTGAGCAGGTTAGATGGAGGAGGCGGCATATGATGGGTCTTGATATGAGGATGCAGACCTCGTTGTCCGGCGCTAGATCGAGTGCGAGGTTCCCTTCCATGTCGCGTTTGCTAACGTCTGCCCCAGCCTTCAGCAGGGCGACAGCTGTATCGCCTGCGCCATCTCGAGTCAACAAGGGAGAGTGAGGTTTCAGGCATGAAACTGCAGTACATACCATGCCCCTCGGCTATAGCATGGTGAAGGGCAGTGTAGCCAAAGTTATCTGTGGCATCCAATGGGCTTTTATGCTTAAGCAACAAGTTGACCATCGGCACCGAACCGACAGCCGACGCTCTGTGGATTGCATATTGGCCTCTCTTGTCGCGCACTCGTGCAGAAACTGGAGTTTTCAAGGCTAGCAGACGCTTGGCTAAGTCGAGGTTGTTCTTCGAGGCGATGAAATGAAGGACATTCTATCGTAGTTGAGTTTAGACCGTTATCAGCCTCAAGGGAATGGGCTCACCTGTCCATTGAGGTCTGTCATCCACAGGTCAGTGACTGCAGACAATGGACAGGACCGGTCACTGACTCTTAAGGTTGATATCGGCGCCCCGAGAGAGAAAGACATCCATGACTGCGTCGCCGTCCGGTAGACTGCCTGCGATCATCACGGGTGACCAGCCGCTACCGTCCTTCGTACAAGAGGAGCTGTCAGTGTTGAACCGTAACCAGCCAGGCTGGCCCCTGAAGGCCCGGGACCAGCAAAGCCTCTTACCTGCACATCGGGGTCAAACCCACGGAGTTGAGTAAGCAACACAACGATGTCAATTTGATTCGCAGATACCGCCCAATGGATAGGCATTCGGCCATCGTCGTCTACGCGTGCTGCAAGCTTCGGGTCCGTCTGGTGCACCAAGGCGTCAATCTGTAGCCATAGTCTCGCCCAGAAGGGGTTGTATTCGCACCTTTAAAATAGCCTCCGCCAGAGACACTATGGCAAACGTCAGTACGGCAGAACACAAACATTTCGCCAAAGCCAAAGGGGCCGTTTATTACTGAAGGGCAGTTGCGTTACCTTTGCCCTCCCTTGCAGCAGCATGAAGTGCAAATTTGGCTTGCTGCTCGTCCATCGTGCACGCGCTCACAACTGATTGATCTCACGACAGAGATACACCCTCCAAGTCACTCTCTCAACAGACGTTATAAGACTTGAGTCGAGCTTGAGGGACGAGACCTTGCAGCTCTGATAAGGGGGAGGTGCAAGACGGTCAAAGCGGCAGCTGGTTGCAAGAAACCTTAGTAGAAGCTACTAATTGTCAATCTAAAGTTGCTGGTGTTCCCCTCCAGGACTGACGTGAGGAGGATTACAACATTGGCATGGGTATATCTGGCTGTGTAAGCAATGGAGTAGCTAGTAGGTACCTTCTTTACCTTAGGTACCGTGTCCACCTAGGTACCTAAACATGGGATTCGGCGGCTAGCTACAAACAAGGTGGCTCAAGCAATGCATAGGCCCACACATGCCGACCCCACCGACCAAAAGGCGTGTGCTGCTTAGCTACGATCTCAACCAGAGCAGCTCTAGTGCCTGAATTGGCAGCTTTCTCGCCTACAGTCTTGTCAATCCTCAATAGGTACTTTTGCGACGTGCCTCACCAACGGCCGACAGCCTTACTGACGGCCAATGATAGCCAGCCGCAAATATCTACCTGTTTAACCTCCTTCCTCCTTCGGATATTGAGTAGCCATGAGCGACATGTCATCTACAGTTGTTCCGGACCGCCTTGCGACGCTTGGCCGACTGGTGGATGGGAATGCAAGAACGACACGATCCATTTTCACCACTTCGACAACCTTACCCTCCAGCAAGCGACAGAGGACGGGTGAGGCGGATGCGAAAATAGACGGCACCACCAGCACAGGCAGGCGCTTCGAGCTCGAGTATGCTAGCGTCCAGGATCTACCCGATGCAATTGCTGCAAAGCTGCCTCCGTCAGGCAAGTCTAGGAAACATGTTGTGCGCCAAGTTGCAAAAGTTACCCCAGGCGTGTCGACAAGCACGAAGTTGTTGGAAGGGCCACAATCCACAACGGTAGAGCACGAGGTGAACATGCCTACAGAGACGAGCATCAACACTGTTGGTTCAGGTTCGCAGCCACCTACCGGACACAATGAGACGAGCCTCTCGCGGATCACATCTACACAACCTCTCAAACCACAATGGCACCCTCCTTGGAAACTGATGCGAGTCATATCGGGACATCTCGGCTGGGTCAGGAGTCTCACAGTAGAGCCAGGCAACAAGTGGTTCGCCAGTGGCGCAGGCGACCGTACCATCAAAATCTGGGACCTCGCGACAGGCTCTCTGCGCCTTACATTGACTGGTCACATTTCGACTGTTCGAGGTCTTGCTGTTAGCCCCAGACACCCCTATCTCTTCTCCTGCGGCGAAGACAAGATGGTCAAATGCTGGGATCTGGAGACGAACAAGGTCATCAGGCACTACCATGGTCATCTTAGCGGCGTCTACACCCTAGCATTGCACCCAACCTTGGACGTGCTCGTAACTGGAGGGCGGGATGGTGTAGCCAGAGTCTGGGACATGCGCCCCCCCGAGTAACATTCATGTTCTCTCGGGACACACAGCAACCGTTTCCGACGTCAAGTGTCAGGGAAGCAGACCCTCAGGTCATTAGTTCGTCTCTCGACTCCACAGTCAGGCTTTGGGACCTGGCAGCGGGCAAAACCATGGGCGTCTTGACGCATCATAAAAAAGGTGTTCGGGCTCTGGCCACGCACCCAAGCGAGTTCACCTTCGCAACAGGAAGCACGGGCAGCATCAAGCAGTGGAAATGTCCGGAGGGGGCATTCATGCAAAATTTTGATGGGCACAACGCTATCATCAACACATTGAGCGTGAATCAAGAAAACGTGTTATTTTCTGGAGGCAAGTAACTTTTGTCAGTCGGGGTCGCCCAGCTGTCAGCTAACCCTGAACTCAGGTGACAATGGCTCTATGAGTTTTTGGGATTGGAAGAGCGGACACCGCTTTCAGTCTTTGGACACAACGGCACAGCCCGGTTCACTTGATGCCGAAGCTGGAATTATGAGCTCGACGTTCGACAGATCAGGCTTGCGCCTTATCTGCGGCGAGGCAGATAAAACCAGTGAGTCCTCGCCAACACACTTCTGACTTTTTGCCTCATAATGTTCCGTATACTAATACGTCGTGTGCAGTCAAAATTTGGAAACAAGATGAAAATGCCACGCCGGAAACGCACCCCCTTGTCTGGCAACCTTCACTGGCTCGCCGGAAGTTTTGATATCATGGCGTCGGCCTTCTGTCATATCGCGAGGAATTCTACAGCGTTCCATAATATAGTGTCTTGAGTACGACTCATAAGCCGACGCCCATGGCCCTCAGTTCTGCATCGTCTCTAAAAGCCATCTTGATCTCCTCGTCTCCCACTGCAAGTCGCAACTTGCACGGACGTTCTGCCCTTTGCGATTCTAGAATGATGATTCCAGCACCTGCGAGGTCTATTGCGCCAGTTTGCAAGCACATTTGTTCAGCCACTACCGTATAGCGGCTGGGACGGACGCCGCCAGATCCCATAGGCATCGACCCTTGCAATGCTTGGAGCGTTGCTGGCAGTAAACTTACAGACGCCAGACTCAAAACACGTTGTACCTCGTCCATAATATCGCCAAATGTGGCATCGCTTGTTCCGCTTTTCTGCGTTCGTGCCACCAAAGCAAAGAGCAACAGTCGTGGTCCGAGAGCGAGAGAGCGGAGATACTGCTGGATGGGGTTAGTCGTGGCTTCATTGATGGCTCTTCTGATAGTGGCGATGGTAACTCTGCCCCCGCGCTGTGTCGTCTTGATGTCTTCGTTTCCGTGTCTGTGTGATCCGTGGCTTGGAGTTGTGGGCACAGGTTGGGCCTCGGCTTCGGCAAGTTCTACTGCTCGTCTGCATATATCGAGAGCTCTCCGAGCGTCGCCGCTGACGGCGGCGACTTTGCGGCTCGCGAACTGGATTGCATCCGGCTCTACGAGGTCGCCTGGGATACCTTGTAGTCTTGACTGAATGATCTTCATCAGTTGTTCATGATTGTACCCCGGAAATGTGATCCTTGTGAGGCCTGTTGGGAGTTAGATGCAAATATTGAGTGGGGTAAAATCTTGATGCACAAACCCAGCCGACTACTTATTTTATTGCTCAGCGTTCGTTCTGGAAGATCCATGGTGTTAGCGACGGCAAGCACAATAAGTCTGCTATGTCGTAGTGCCGGCCAATTGAAAAAGTTATACATAACGCTTTGATTTTTCGTGACAAGCTGATCCAGTTCGTCCATCAAGACGACACATGGTATCCGTCGGGGACTTGGGTTATTGAACTCACGTTCAAGCAAATCTAGTGCTTGAACTGGACTGACACGCTCGCTTTTGAGAGCTTCCCATAGTAGACTATAAGACTGGTGAGGGTCGGTAATCTTCATGCCGTTGATCTCGACGAAGATGAAGTCATCGAGCTCATCGGACCTGACACAGCTCTCCAAACGTCCTATAACCTCACGGACCGTAGCAGTTTTCCCAGTGCCCGGGGTTCCAGCTATATAGATACAACTGCCAGAGCCATCAATAATCGCAGCCTCGAGATGGGAGTAAACGGATGAGAACTCATGCTCACGGCATGGTAAACTGGTTGGTACCGATGCGACATGCAGTCGAGATCGGGCTAGTTGGAATGGCGATGACTTTAATTGGGTAGGAGACAGCCTGCGTGTTGCCAAAGGGGTGAACTGCAATGTCCTCTTCACCTTGAACCTGTATGGTAGGGCCAGTCAGTAGAGGGCCCGCTGTTGTCAGAGGAGACGCGAGAATACCTTCTGCTCGAAGTTGGCGTTGTTGCTGTAGTCTTCTTGGAGTGAGGCGTCGGCGGGTCTTTCCTGCGCTTCTTCTGCGCTCGTTCTTGTTCTGAACCAGAAGAATCATCGACGGCTACGTTATATTCTTTGGAGGACTCGTCACGTCCTGGACGTTGCCTTCTTGTCGATTTGGTGTTTGCTTGGAGGTATTGCACCAAGCCGTGAATGTCATCCTCGGTACCGCAAAAAATGTCTTCCCAACAAAACTCTTCAGTGAAGATGGCTGTTCTCGTGTTGCATCCTCGGCGACACATGAAGACCTTGGAGTTTCGGGGTGCTCTGCCTAATGGATACCGTCGTTGGAACATATCAAATGATAAGACCGTCGCCTTTCCATTGATAGCGGTGAGAGGATTGACATCCCATGAAGGTGTTATGTAGAGCTCATGCTGCGGGTGTTAGCAATCGACCTGTGATGTTGTTCGGAGGCTATAGCATACTGGGAGGTAGTCGTTTCGCTTCTTCTTCTTCGTGATAATCTCTTTGTCCGTGGAAAACCACATGAACTCTGCTGCTTTTTCCCCATCTTCGCGGTCTAAAAAGCTGCAAATGATTGCTACCCAGGCCTCTTTCAACCCTTCGGCCTTCAGCAATACACACTCTCCGACGAGACATCGAAATCCTTCCAGCTGGGCTCCGATTATTTTGCGACCTGCACTTGTTGTATCTCTGACTTTTTTCTTGTGACTAGAGGTAATGTCCTCGGAATGGGAGTTAGCTGGCTCCTCATATATCCATTCCCATGGGATATCATCAGTGCCGAGTTCGTCATCGGAGTCGTCTCTTGGCACCCCGGTAAGCTGGCGACGCGACAGCGAATTTCGAGATTTCATTGTTGCCATCGATATGTTATTGAAATACACCGTGGATGTACGGAGTGCGCGATGGGCAGAATAATTGAACAAAAGCTGGAAAGATCGGGTCCGATGGCAAGGAAGTGACGTATCGCCAACCGACGCCTTAGAAAGTCAGAGAACAGCCGCGCTCCACCCGACGCGTCGATGGAAGGAACAGACGCGACAGGCCTTAAGCACAGGCAACCCAGCTCGGTAATTATGAAGGGTTAAATAACTAGTAAATAAACCTAAGTCTTATTAATATTTAATTGAAGATTAAGTATAAGTAAAGCTTAGTAAATACGTTTAGAAAATATTAACTATATAGGGAATAAATATATAAAAATATAGTAAAATATATTAAGATTAGGAAATTTTATTATATTTTAATATATAGCTTCTATAATATTTTAAAAATAAGGCTACTATATATAAGTATATTATACTTTATAATATTAGATTAGATTATTATAATATTTTCTTATAAAGAGTATTAATATATAATTATAATGTAATATAGTTATAGTTATAGGGACTAGTGATCTCAGATCTTAAATACTCAGTTTATAGTGCTATATTAAGATACCCTCCCTTATTAGGAGGGGCTATAGAGTTTCTCTATATATCATGACTCCTAGTCATGTGACTAGGAGTCGTACAGGCTAGTGATCACGGTTTCGTGATCACCGACCTACGGTCACATGACAAGCTCCACCTCATTGCCTGTTCACTGTGCCCGTAACATAATATTTCTTTTGTTTATATAAAGTAATTATCATTAATATAATTATTAAATTTTAAATTTTAGAATATAAACCTATATTATATATCCTTTATAGATAGGTATATCTTATTAATGCCTTATTATTAGTATTAACATCCAAGTAGTATACAGAGCAAATCAAGTAGTTAAACATTCAACATATAATCAAGGCGAAGCTGAAATCCTTACTATCTATAAACAACGCCGCCATACCACTCTCGATCCATGTTATACAGACTACACTATCATCTTACAGCAGCATCCTCCTTGGATCCTCAATGTACTCCTTTATCTTCACCAAAAACTGCACGGCCTCCCTCCCGTCGAGTAGGCGATGGTCGTAGGTGAGAGCGAGGTACATCATGGGACGAACCTCGACCTTGCCATTGACAGCAATCGGGCGATCCTTAATGGCATGGAGACCAAGAACGGCAGTCTGGGGAAGGTTAATGATAGGAGTTCCCATGAGGGAACCAAAAACGCCGCCATTGCTGATAGTGAAAGTCCCACCAGCCATGTCCTCAATCGTGAGCTTGCCGTCACGAGCCTGCAAAATAATTAGCCATGTCACTCACCCGTGAAGACCAAAATCATACCTTCTTGCCCATGTCGGCAATTGCCTGTTCAATGCCAACCATGCCCCATGGAACTCTGTGTTGCGCCACGACGGGTGTCACAAAGACCCTTCTCGGTTGCAACAGCCACGCTGATGTCGACATAAATCACGGTACACAATGGTGTCACCACCATTGGGGCCTTCAATTGAAGCATTCACGGCCGGAATGTCACGCATGGCGAGAACGGTCGCGCGCGCAAAGGCACTCATGAAGCCAAGCTTCACACCGTCCTTCTTCAGAACATCGTCCTTGTAAAGTTTGCGGAATTCCATCAGCGATGACATGTCCACCTCATTGAACGTAGTCAGGGAAGCAGCAGTGTTCTGCGACTGCTTGAGGCGTTCTGCTATCCGGAGACGCATACGGTTCATTTTCACCTGTAATGTGTTCGGTGAGCAATTGTCCTTGGTCACCTGGCTGAAAAGACTACAGTCGAGAGGGTCAACATACGCGACGCTCCTCACGGTTTCCGAGAGTAGGACCAGAGCTCGAGCTCTCCTTGGGAGCGTCCTTCGAGGGCTTGCTTGTTTCCTTCGCCGGCGTAGCAGGCTTGCTGCTGCTGCCGCTAGCGGGTGCATCTTGCTTTGGCTCCGGCTTAGGCTCGGGTTTCGACTCAGACGTAGGCTCGGACTGAGGCTTCTCAGCTTCGTGTCCTTGTTGACTCGGTGTGCTTGATGAATCCCCTTGGCCTCGGTGCTGGAAGGCTCCCCAAGCTCT